TACGATAACCCTTGCGTTGTTTTTTTACGTGCTGATGTAAGGCAACTCCTCATGAAGATGAGCCCAAGCATTATAACATTAAAAAGCAAAGAGGCATGGATCGATCAGTGATTAAACTTTTTGGACTCATTGCTTCTCAAACAATACAAGGAGTTTCTAATCCGGGCGATCACAAGTGTTGGCATGAATTATATGGAATACAACAGGATGCCAGCCACTGAAGAACTCCACTGTCGCCTACGCAACAATTTCCGGCAGATTTACCTTCTGACCAAGGACGACCTCCGCCGTAAAATACCTCAGGAGAATCTGGGATTTTGTATCAATTATTTGGTGAAATGTTCCATTTCTGCTACATACAAAAGACAATATGATAATAATAATCTCTTGTAATTCTGAATAATTTGAAATTGGAACGAAAAAAATTTCATTTGAATAAACAGATAATGCCGATTCTGGGTCAATGTTTTAGCGGAGACATGGTCGATGGGGCCCAGTAGGGGGGTTAGAATCTGTGGTTTTAATCCGCGGACCAATTAATTTAAATCGCGGCTTGATTAGCGGGTTAATTAATTTGATTCGTGGTTTTTTTCAGTCAAATGGGGCTCTATTGACGACTTGTCAATCCACCCCCCATGAGGCAGCGGGTGAAAGGGTTGATTACTTCGCACGTCGTGGTTTGATTCGTGGGTTAATCAGGTTTATCCACGGTGTTGGGACAAACGACCCGCCACGAGAGGGCCGGGTGGGTGAAACGATTAATTGATCCGCGGGGTAGCGGTTTGATTCGCGGGTTAAGCAATTAATTTGCGGTTCTGGGTCAACGTTTCAGCGGAGACCTGGAAGTCAGAGGGCCCCCGCGAGGGAGAGTTGGGTAGGTGGAGGCGTTGATTAATTGGCGGGTCGCGGTTTAATTCGCGGGTTAATCAATTTATTGCGCTGGTTAATCAATTTAATTAGCGGATTTGGGTTACAAGGGACCATCACGGTGACCTAGTCAATGCACTCTGCGAGGGGGTGAGTGAAACGGTTAATTAATTCGCAGGTCGCGGTTTGATTCGCAGATTAATACCACAGATCACGGCTAAATTCGAGGGTCGATTAATTAATTAATCAATCAGTACACCCGAACTTCTCAGTACACTACCGCGAGGGGTGAAAGGTTAACTAATTCGCTGTGTTAGTTTGCTGTAGAAATCATAGAAGGGGGTCTTCTTCAAATATTGACACGTGGCTCCACTCGACATTTTCCAGACATATCTGAACTTGAGTTTTTCGGTACTTTCCTGTTTGCCGCTCCCTTCGTGTGAAATTGTTGTTAATAACGATATCAATATGGGACATTCCATGTCAACTCAGCCACCCTGGAAATTTTTGGTTCTCAGAATCATGAATTAGCATACTCCCAGTCAAGTACTACACAAGACATACTTTCTCTAAATATTCGCTCCTTTAATATTAATGGTTTGGCTAGGACAAATAACAAAAGCTCAAATTTTTGAAAAATCATATCTTGCGAACAAATTGGCCGATTTTGATGAATAAAAAGAGATTTTTTCGTTTTTTTATATACTTTGTGACCGCGTTAACCCACGGCGTGAAATTCAAAACTTGAAATATAAACCGTAGACTTATCCATAACTCGATGCGAAACTCAAAACAGCCGGAGTGTTGTCACCTTCGGCCTCTGCTCCTCGATGGCCCCCACGAAAATCCTCGAAAACCGAATAAACGAAATAAACGGGAAAACGAGAAAAATGTTGTCGGGCGCCAGCTGACTTTTGTTCCAGCGGTGTCAACGAACCGCATTAAAGAGAACCATACGAAAACTTAGCCATAATTGGGGAGATCAAGGGAGAGGTTGCGGAATTAGCTCGACTAGCTCGGAGGTATTCGGAGAGCGGGGTAGGATTGGTCGCTCGGTCTTAGGAAGGATGTCGCAAATTTACCAAAAGATACAGAAAAATCAAAAGGAAGAATCAGAAAATTAATTAAATAGGGGATGAGAGAATTACTTTAAATTTACTCCGTGATTTATTCAATTCCTCAATAATATTTCAACTCAAATAGAATTTCTATTCTTCATAAATAAAATAAATTAATTTCAATTAAATTCAACAAAATTAAATTCAATTAAATTCCCGAGAGTGAGAGTACGTGAATTGACCATGAGAGAGAGGTTATCGCGAAGGGAATGGGAGGTCCGAAGAGGCCAGGCCAACGATCTCTCCGCATCGTCCAGAAACTGGAGTGCTGGAGGATCTGAAGGCGGCGTTAATTCCAAAGCGATGATCTCGGCGAATCTCCTCATAACAATAACTGACAATTAATGGGCGAGGGACTCTAATATGCAAATGTCACTTAAGAGTGCCATTTTGCCCCATATTTGAGTCCATCCTCCATCAAGAGCGTCGTGGCGTCACAGGGAAATTCCTGGGGCTCGCGCGCTGCAATGTCGTGATTTTCGGGGTCTCGTCTTCCAAGAAATCTCAATTTAATAAATTGAAACCTTGGGGGAACTTTACTGAGCTATAAGAGCACTCATTTGAGGCTTCAATTCGCTCTGGAAAGAGGAAAAACCGCCAGGTGCACGGCAGCGTCACCCACGGCACTTGTAGGCCTGTTTTATCCACTTTTTCCCACTAGAATTGGCACTGGACATTCCCCATACGTTCTCGAGGATTCTAGTGAACTAATTATGCACTCAGAGGATGCATTAATTGTTCAACAAGACCTCTTGGAGAACGGAGAGGGCACGATGGCGCCATGGCAGACCATGAGCCATGTGCGGCCTTTTATTGTGTCTCACTGTCCATTATCACTATCACTGGAGAGTCACTGGGGTTTTTTATCACTGGGGAGAGGTCTAGGAAGACGAACGAGGGTTTTATGCACTCACTGGTGCATTTTTCCTCTCGCTCGGAGGAGTCTTGGTGGTTGGGAATGCATCTCGGTGTCACTCTAGTGAACGCCGGTGGACTGTTCCCGGAGGTCATCACTGGGTACACTGGGAATAAACGCACTTCTTTCCTCGGGAGAGAGTGCACATTGTGAATAAAAGTGTACTTACCATGTTCCTCGTGTGGGCCCTCGGCGATGGTCTCCACCAACTCTCTCCATCGTTGTCGATATTCTCGGGGATGTCGTCACAGTGGTTGCTCGGGTCCAACTCTTTCGTAAACTGCGTTTAACCGGCGGAGGTTCTCAGCTGGCTGGTGCGACTGACACGCCGTCTAGCCGCCGCTGGGGTGGGATCATGTAGACGACCACGCGGGGAGTTTGATTCAAATGGGTTTTAGACTTATTTAGGCATTCCGTCGTTAATTATATTTTTTATGAATAAACCCAAGGAGTTTTTATCCATAATGACTGAACGATAGTTATCTGGAGGTTCGGAAAGGGGGAATTAAGGCAGTTATTCGCCTTTTCCTCTCGCGAATGCACTTCACACCTGAGTAAGTGCACTTTTTCGCTGGTGTCACTCTCCCGGTAGTCATCCTGGAGTCACCGTGAACAAATCTAAATAGAGAATAGCCCATGGCGATCCATGCAGACGAGTGGGCTATGTTCATCCACATGGCCTTCCAGCTGCACTGGTGAATCCAATGACTCCACGAAGCGCCTTAGCCAGGGAGCATGAGTATTTCACCTCAACCTTTGTGATCAGCAGCCGCACTCAACGAAATCAGCGAGATCTCACCGGGAAGGATCCGCGAGATTCCACAATACAAAAATACAACTAGGAAAATACAAAATGTACAGTACATTTTCCCTCAACCGTAAAACCGAAAATTTATCCCCTATAATCCGAAATAAACCAGAAAGATAACTGAAACTAAAAGAGAACAAAAACTTTCATATTACTTGAACCGGAGATTTTACTTTTTACTCGTTTTTAGTGTGTATCGACACGTGAATTTAATTATTTATAGAAATCGAACGTTGTTTTCCCCGCGAGGCCCTTCCTGATGTTCTTGTTGACCGGTTTCTACGAGCTGGAGCTAAAAGGGGTGTTGCATCGCCCTTCGATAGGGGTGCTAACTTTGGGGTTAAAGGAATCGCGACTCTCTCTCGGAAAAGGTCAAAATAACTTCACACTTACCTACTCACTCTTACGGTTTATTTAGTTCTATGACGAAGTTGTGTTCTCGAAAATTCCGTCACAGGCCTCCCTCCTTCTCGTTCCCTATCTGTTGTTTTCCGTGCATCTGGGTAGAGGTGATAGTCTCTCGGTTGGTCTAGGCTCCACTAGCCGTGCGAACATCTGATGGAGTGGAAGAGAAGAGAAGTGTGCTGGAAATAAAAGAGAAACCGAACCCACGCCCATAAATCTAGGGTCGAAAGAAAATGTAGGCTACACGCTTATCTTCCTTTGGAAAATACGGAGCTCCTTTTATTCTCCTCTCTAAGGGAAGTACAGTTTACCCTATCCTAATTCTTATTGAATACTCTATGGTGCTTATGACTACGTCAGGTAGAGAGTCGCAGTCCATCTGGAAGCCTGAGGCATCAGTCGTGGCTTCTCCGAGGACTGGAACTCTATCACAGCTAGTACAGTCCATGGGGCTTTGACGGCTTGGGGTCTGGGCTTATTCCGTTCCGGGGAAAAGTTCTCTGGACTTGAAGATGATGCTCGTGAGTTGGAGTCTCGCTGATTGAGGAGCGGTAGGGGTCCGCTGCGACTCAATCGGAGAGGTGAGGGTTTTGGGGCCACTGCTCAGATGAGGGGCTCCCTTTGGAGTTGTTGGACTTATGGATGGGGGAGATCTGCCCCCTGGCCGGCCACTGTCTTTGGGCACCTAGTGCCTTTTCGAGGACTCGTATCCTCGTCGCGGCGAAGACTGACGTGGTGAGTCTTGGCGTTGACGACGGTCATCCTCATGACGACGGTGCTCGTGACCTCGCCGGTCCTCGTGGCGGTCATCACCTCTCTCTGGTCGATCGGGGAAGTAGCGATCTTCCTCCGAGCGTCGCCTTCGAGGCTCATCGTCACGGGCACCTCAAGGGGGTGAACGTCGTCTCCTTGGTGGACTGGATGATCGGTCCTCCCTCATGTAACTCTCTGTCAGCTGCTGAGTGAGGGCTTTCACGAGGCTCAGCATAGCCTCGGCGGAGGGATTTGGTGAGCGCTTCTGCTCTGACTCACGTGAGTGGTCAGAGGAGCGTCTTTGCCTGGGGGATCGTCGCCTCGACGGGGAATGCTTTCGCCTTGGCGAAAAATCTCGACGAGGTCGTGGAGATGTCGGCCGAGTTCTCTGGGTCGGTCTCTCGGGGGATCGTCGACGTGGGGATCGACGAGCCTGAGAGGGTTCCTGGCGAGGTCTCTCGGGTTTCGCCCTCCGTGAGGTACGCTGAGGGTCCTTGGACTGGGGAGCAGGGACTATTCTCCATTCGCCTCCGAGGGGCGAGGGACTGCCGTTGGTGTGTGCCATGTGTCTGTACCGCAGCCTTCCCCTGCCTCTTCCTTTACTCAGGGCTGCACAATGCATGTCCCACTGAGGTTCAGGCATGGGTGGTAGAGGTCCTGCTGGGATTTTTGGGGGCGGTTGCACTACCTGAGGGGGTGGTACCTTTGGGGGTGCTGGCTGTAGGGTAGGAGCACTATGCCCAGTTGGTGCACCGGCCGCTGAGGATGCGGCGGCTGCGGCTTGGCGTGCGATGGCTGCCTCGATCCGCTTCTGCCTGCCTCCCCTCCTTGTGGGTCTTTTCCTCTTCCCTGGGGCTTCTGTGCTGGGTGTCTCCTCGTTATCCCAGTCATCTAAGGGTGAGGAGTATAGAGGGTATAGGGGGTGAGGGCGATCTGGTCGGGTCGCCTGACTCTCCTTCCGGTGTGTCGCTCGAACCTCTCGCCACCTCATCTCTTCTACTTGATCGGCCCAGGAGGTGGAAAGCGGATGGTTAGGTGAGGGCCAGAGAGGCGGTACTACCCTGGGGGCGGGCCTCTCACCTGAGGATCCTGACGTGGCGGTCGGGGAGTCCACCAAGGTCCTGGGTCTCCTGGTGGCTCCTGTGGACGCTGCGGGTGCCGGGTTTTGATGATCTGGGGGTGCTACCGGCTTCGGGGGTGCCCCTCCATTACTCGACGCTCCGGTGAGTACCTCCAGCTGTCGGTCGTCCTCCGTCATGTCCATCAGGAGGAGGTCGGAGTTTGAGTCGACCTCTGGGGTCGAGGAGTTCGGGGGCTTAAACTCACTCAACGTCATAGTGTGTAGGCGGTTAAGAGGGATTGAGACCTGGACTTCTGGGCGTCCCTCTGGCTGCTTTGGTCGCCGAACATCTCGGAGGCGCGGGGCCGGTTGAGATGAGGCGACTTCTGTCGTTGGGGTCTCTTCTCCCTTTTTAATGGGCTGGGCTCCCGCTACCTGGGTGCTAGCACGACGCTCACACTCCAACTTCTCCCCCCGAGAGTCTGTTGAGTTCTCCCGGTCCCGCCTCGGTGAGCGTGATGTGGTGGAGTTATCGGAGCAGCTGTCGTCACCTGCTCGAGCTGCTACTGGTGCTAGGCTCCGGGAATTGAGGCACTCTAGTCCTGCCGGTAGCCTGGCGCAAGGTGCATTGCAGAGCCCGAATGATTCCTGGTAGCTTCCTGTCAAGCCTCCACAGGGAGTCCTTGTAGGGCTGCAACTTGCGCCACACCGAGGAGTCCAGCTCCCGGGGCTGCTTCAATGGAGACCTTCTGGACGCCTTGATGTGTCGGTCCCATGGACGTGGGGAACTGGTGGCTTGATCTCGGGGTTGAGGGTCACTGGGAATAGTATCCTGGACGGTATCCGCGGAGCAGTACTGGGAGCTCGATGATGTTGGCTCACCAGACGTCAAGTCCTTCTCACCAGCTTACTCATGGTTGGAGTTGTCCAAGGAGCTGGCTTCACTCCGCTCACCTGGGGCTATCGATGGGGCTGACAGGAGGCTAGGTGTGACCTGCTCACCTGCAGCTATCCCTCTGTCCTCTTCCTGGATCTCCATGGGGCTAGACTGCCGTTCGTCTGCTGGGACTTTCCCACTTTCCCCCTCCCGAAGTTGGTTTTGCCCTTGAGAGCTACTCTCATCTCCTTTTGGGGTTTCTGGGGCCACTGGAGTGGTTGGAGGTGTCATCAGGGAGTTAGGCTTGTCCTGCTCGCCTGAATACTTCTCCAGGTTATCCAGAGAATCAGATGTTGGGGCGTCAGTCTCCGTGATCTCGAGGGGATTGGGAATGATTTTGTGGGTGGCCTCCTGAGCTTTCTCGGTGTTCAAGAGTGCTGACTTCTTTGTCGCATCTTCTTGAACAACCAGGACTGCTTGGGGTACAGGGTCTTCCTCGAGGAGTTGACTCGGCGGATGCTGAGGAACCCGTCTGGGATCCTCCAGCGGGGTTGGCCGGGTCTTCACTCCTACTTCTCCGATGTCCTTTCTCTTGTCCTTGACCCCTCTCTTCTTCTTTTTCTCCTTCGGCGCCTCCCTATGCAGCTTCTTATCACCCTACAATCAATTCCAGAATAATTTAAAGAAAATGATGAACGAGTTACGCATAAATATTGGGGGTGAAGAAGAGGTAGCTTAGAGGAACAGGGTGTAGGGGTTTCTTTGGATGTTACTACTCTTGCTCCAGAGGGGGAGTATAGGGTTTCAAGTCTTGGATTGACGAAACTCTCTTTTTCCGTCCAGCCAGATCTACTAGCTCATATCGCGTGCTTGATAATTTCTTATCGATCACGTACGGACCATTGAATGGCTTTGCGAGAGCTGCTGAGAATCTCTTGGCTGCATTGGAAAGAGTGTACGTCCTTCGGAGTACTAACTCCCCAATTTCGAATTCTCTGCTTCGATGTCGTAAGTTGTAGTAGTGGGCCTGCCTGTCTTGGGCTTCCCTCAGGGCATGTTTGAAGACTTTTCGTAGCGTCTCTAATCTCTTCATGCGCTCAAACCATTCCTGGGGGTCGCATGGGGTGGGCGCTACTTCTCTCTCTAACTCTCGTCTTAGTGATGCTGAAATTTCAGGTTCTCTCCCAAAATTTGCGAACGCCGGGGATGCTTTTAGAGAGCTGTGAACTGCGGTGTTGTAAGCGAAGCGAAACTCGTGGAGATGATGATCCCACTCGCGCTGATCATCATCCGTGAAGGCTCTCAGCATCATCTTCAGCACTCTGTTGAGCCTTTCCACTGGATTACCCTGGGGGTGATAGGGTGGAGTATTCTGTAGGGTCATTCCTGTTCGCTTGGGCCTTTATGTCCTTATTTACGAACTCCAGGCCGTTGTCTGAGTAGAAAAAGCGTGGTGTCCCCCATCTGGTGATCACATCTCGTTCGATGACTTCCCTGATCCTTCTTCCTGTTGCACTTCGTAGGGGAAAAACCTCTATCCACTTGGTGAAGAGATCCTGGACCACGAGAATGTATTTTGATCCAGATTTACTAGGGGTAATTGGACCCATGATGTCTGCGGCGATGGTCGTCCAGGGTTCAGCGATGACCCGCCGTCACATCAACCCTGCAGGAGCTCTCTGCTCCACCTCGCAGCGTTGGCAAGTGTCGCATTGTGCTATGAAGGTCACGATGTCCTTGAGCATGGTGGGCCAATAGTACTTGAGGGAGACATGACAATATGTCTTGTCAACTCCAAGATGGCCAGCCTGAGGTGCATCATGAGCCTCACGAACTGCAATAGTTCGGAGCTCTTTTGGGAGCATTAGCTTCCAGGCGTCCACGTCTTCCAACTCTGCTGATATAAATACTCTCGGTCGGTGGGGGTACAGCAGGTCTCCCTCGATTTTCCAATCGGGGAACCTATCGGGAGCATGTTGAACATCTCGAAACCGACGAGTGTACCATTTATCGGTTGTCTCTTGCATCCGTTGTATCGTCTCCTCATCAGGGGCAATTGAGCCCTCTGGTGCTCTTGATAGAGCATCTGGGACGTGGTGTAATGCTCCTTTCCTATGGATGATCTGGTAGTCGTACTCCAGCAGGCCCAACGCCCGTCTGGCGAGAAGACCAGTTGGATTCCTCAGGTTGTGTAGCCATCGGAGACTACTATGGTCGGTAATTACCGTGAATGAGTAGCCCTCCAATTAACAGCGGAACTTCCCGATGGCCCAAATCACAGCCAAACATTCCTGTTCTGTTACCGTATAATTTTTTTTATCATTCATCCCCGCTAAGTGGCGTTTTCGTGGTGTGTTTTAGAACCCGTAAGTGGGATTTACCAGGCCATGGGCCGGTAAGTAAAAACTAGCCCCGCTCTCACGATTTACGGGCCATGGCCCGTTAAGTAAGACGTGAAGTGAGTCCCTCTTACACGCTCGTGCGGCTAAACTATAGTTTGCCACTAAAAGCCAAAATTCACGAGGAAAATCGTGACAAATTCCGTTAAACAAAAGAGCGAAATGAATTTCATTATACCCGACAGTGACGAAGAGGAGTCACAAGACATTTTTAGTGAAGTGAATAATACCAGTGACGACGTAGCATGTACGTCAGCACAAATAGTTGAATTTTACCTTGTGACACATTCTACTTCATTTTTTCATCCTAGATCGGTCCGTTAATTTAGAATTTATAATTAATCATTTCCCTTTTTTCAATTTTGTTTATTTGGTCTTTCTTCAGTGGGGGGGCTTCTGGCTGGGAGAAGTCTGGGCAGGCGAGCGTCGGGGATGAGGTGAAATGTCTCTTCAAAGTGTCCAGAGCTCTGGCCTGCTCCTCCATCCATTCCCAGGCTTGGCTTTTCTTCGTTAATCTTGTCAGAGGTTCAGCGATAGTTGCAAAATCTGAGATGAAACGACGGTACCACGAAGCCATTCCTTGTGATTCTGGGGTGCAGGGTATTGCAAGACCGTTTCGACCTTTTCGGGATCGATCTGCAATCCCGCACTGTTCACCAGAAATCCAAGATACTTCACCTGGGAGCAAGAAAACTCGCTTTTCTCCCGGTTGATTACGAGTTGTGCATCCCTCAGTCTCCGTAGGACCTCCTCAAGCATTCTCAGGTGCTCGTCAAAGGTCCTGGAGATGATGATAATGTCATCCAGGTATACCTACACACTGGGGTGTAGAGAAATACCAACAATCTTATCCAATAGTCGCTGGAATGTTGCAGACGCATTCGTGAGGCCACAGGGCATGCGCTTAAACTGGAACAGCCCACGACCTGGTACTACGAAAGCGGTACTCTCCCTTGATGCTTCGTCGAGCTCAATTTGAAAATATGCTTGGCTCAGATCGAAGGTGGTGATGTAATGAGCTTGCCTCAGCTCATCTAGGATGCCAGTCATGTTGGGGATGGGGTAAGCATCTCGCTTTGTGACCGCATTCACCTTCCTGAAGTCGATGCAGAAACGATACTTCCCATTTGGCTTCTTCACCATCACAACAGGGCTGGACCAGTCGCTTTTGGATGGTTCAATGATCCCTGCTTCCAACATGGTGTCCACCTCCTTCCACATTGCGTCACGGAGTTTTGGTGTCACATGGTAAGGCTTTTGCCTTATGGGTGCACTCTCTCCGACGTCAATGTGATGTGAAGTGAGGAGAGTGACTCTAAAGGTGCCAGTGGGTGGTGGAGGGATCGTCCTATCCAGGAGATCCTGAAGACGTTGAGTCTCATTGTTCTCCAACACTCTCAATCCACTGCNAGAGGAGTCACAAGACATTTTTAGTGAAGTGAATAATACCAGTGACGACGTAGCATGTACGTCAGCACAAATAGTTGAATTTTACCTTGTGACACATTCTACTTCATTTTTTCATCCTAGATCGGTCCGTTAATTTAGAATTTATAATTAATCATTTCCCTTTTTTCAATTTTGTTTATTTGGTCTTTCTTCAGTGGGGGGGCTTCTGGCTGGGAGAAGTCTGGGCAGGCGAGCGTCGGGGATGAGGTGAAATGTCTCTTCAAAGTGTCCAGAGCTCTGGCCTGCTCCTCCATCCATTCCCAGGCTTGGCTTTTCTTCGTTAATCTTGTCAGAGGTTCAGCGATAGTTGCAAAATCTGAGATGAAACGACGGTACCACGAAGCCATTCCTTGTGATTCTGGGGTGCAGGGTATTGCAAGACCGCTTCGACCTTTTCGGGATCGATCTGCAATCCCGCACTGTTCACCAGAAATCCAAGATACTTCACCTGGGAGCAAGAAAACTCGCTTTTCTCCCGGTTGATTACGAGTTGTGCATCCCTCAGTCTCCGTAGGACCTCCTCAAGCATTCTCAGGTGCTCGTCAAAGGTC